ACGGAGACCAAAGGATTTTAAGTACTCGCCGTGGCCATGGTCGCAGCTTTCTTTTCCTTTTGCCTCCTTCCCTTCAACTGCTTTGCGGTCAGATTTTCAGCCGTTCGAGGATCACAAATACAGGATTTCTCCATACCGGTACTCTCCTGGTTTGCACCATGTTTAACCGTTATTGGTTCCATCTCTGATACCAGTGCCCGTTTTGAAGAAGGACTAGGACCACCCCCCCCCCAACCTCCCCACCTGTCATTACATTGGTTGCTCCAGAACGTGTCGATGGTAGTTCGCCCTCCACCTCATTCAGGAGTATGCTCTCCATTGACAAGAAAATGCAAAACGACGTATCAAGATAATGCAAAACTGCGTATGTGAGGTAGCATAAATTATTTTCTAGAGAGTAAAACACTAATGGTTCGCATTTCTGGCCAGTATATTTCAGGACGAATGGATAAGGATTGAGCAAAGAGCTTGCGTGAGCAAATCCAATTTTTGGCAATAAGTGTCAGTTACGCGGGTTTGCAGAATGACGATACTCGGTTTTGTACTTTAAACGACGTTATATGTATGACTCAATTACTTAGTGGCCACGGCTGCTTTCGACAGTACCTGCACTATTATGGTCACAATGACTCGATGACATATAGTACATGTGAAAATGTGCCTCTTTTATTTCTAAACCGCACTAGAAGAAAAAGTCTTACTTGCGCAACCTAATTGAATACTAGCATCTAACCGTGGATGCGCACATTTTACATTACAATATGCTGAAGTTTGGAAATAAGAGGCTGATGCTTAGTATTTTGACGTTTTGTAATGCAGCCATACTTTTCGATTGCCCATCGTTTTCACTTGAAAGAGAGAGATTATATACATTCACTCAAGAGGACCTGACTACGGATATTATCATAGAACATATGTTGAACGATAAAAAAGTATGGGGCGCATTAAAAAATATTACTTAGGGCTTACACCGGACAATACTGTCATGACAATAGCAGAACATGCACACTTTTTCACTAATATATGCATACTTTTGCAATTGTCTCAAGCACTGTCTTTATTATTTTCAAGACAGTAAATCGGACAATGATTTGACGTATGCAGACAATAGGTGCAATCCCGTATTCCTCGGACTAAAACTTGTAAAACTGTCAAAAAATAAAAATTCGCTCAGAGCGAGAGAGTAACATTGAAAAGTACGGGATGGCTTTCTAGTAAAAAATGGTAAACTCTGTCAACTTCAACATAACCTCCAAATTTTGGTTGTAAATTTTTGCTTATTTTGTATGTAAACACACTCAGCTCACACATGTAAATAATCAAAAATACTTTCAGATTCATTACAGTCCACTTAAACAAGTAATTAAATACTTTTCAACATGAATTAGCAGAGTGCACTTTTCTTTTGTTTACAATTTGGTTGCCAAACACACTACAGCTGATCGTTTGACACATTTACAAGAATTTACCAGCAAAAAATTCTCGGACTAAAACTGGTAACTTCTGACAGAGAGAGAACCATATTTGCTCTTTTTTTGTCCTCTCAATAGTCAGAGAACCTAGTACGGGATCGATTTCCAGTAAAATCTGACTAAATAGTCCGGACTCGTACGGGATCACAACTAATAATTTCGACGTCTTGTGGAAGAAAGCAAAGAGAAATTCATAACAAAAGAACTATAATAACTGAAAAACGCTGATGTGTATGTAAATTTTTCTCTGTTTATTATTTTTTAGTTTAAATAGCTCGCGCGAAATGCATGTTATAATACAACGTTCACGTCCGAAATGAATTGTCGTAACTATTGTCAGGACGCCTGCGTCGCGGGGACAATTATCATAATTTTTGACAACTAATACGTATTTCTTTATTGTCTTGACATCATTGTCTAATGTAAACGCGCCGTTAGTAGAGAAATGACGGCAAACCTTTCCAAAACTGTCACTACATGGTAAGCAGGGGTGGTTTTCCCCTACTTCAAACAGCTTCGATGGAACGTTCAGTTAGACATAATGACACAATATATAGTTATATGTGGGCGGTATCACGCCCAATTTCCAAAATTCCATAATAATGTTACTTCTTTTCAAGGGATTGTTTTTTTTATCAATTTTGAGTAAAGGACGCTACTTAAACTTCGAAATATCGAAGTTTCAAGATTTCAATAATTTTCAACGTGTTGCATTTATGTGGCAAGCATAATAACACTTGACCACAAATTTCAACTTTTTCTCTTTACCAGAAACGCCGTTATGAAATTCATATGTAAAATCACCCCCTGATTCCGAAAATCAAGGTTATTTTTAATTCTATGGTACCGTTTTTGAGATATTTGCAATTTACCGTTTTTGCAAAAAAAAAAAAAATGGGTCCACTTTATCATATATATCTCAAGAACGAATTAAGCAATTCCAAAACGGTTTGAAGCTTTTAAAAGGTAATAAAATTTTCTATAAACTGTGCATACAACACTTTTTGCTAGGCCCTGTAGATTCAAAGATAACGAACAATCATTACCGATTTTTTCAATTTTTTTTGTAAAAATATAAAAAAAATTGTACTTTGCGGGGAAGGATCTCGAAAACCTTTTATTTTTTTGCAGATTTTTTTTTTCTCCCTAAGCTCTGTTGTATTACAAAAAAAATAAGCTATCATCGAAGAAAATCGATGCAAAACTACGTAAGTTATAAGCGATCAAATAAAAATACCCAGGTTGCGCAACTTCAATGTATGTACCTATACATACATACATATATTAAAGGTATAAAGTGCAAGTGAGATATTATCCGGATAAACGAATAACACCATAACAATGATAACACTTTTTCTTTAAATAAATCAAATAGTACTTTTAATACTCGAATTGTATTATAGTAGGTAGAGTGGTTGCATCGAAAGGAAGAGTGGTTGGGTTCGAAACCTGCTGTAGGCATGTAGTTATAAACATGTATTTCCGTCAGTTATGGGTAAGTATGCAGGTAGATTTTCAAAATTATAAGACACAGAAAATTTCTAAAGCCTACATCTAAAACAGGTAGTATTTTCTTTTCCCGGCTTGTTATAAAAAGGAACCTTTCTGTCTAGGTAAGATTTGATTTTTTCAATTTTATTCTTGTTCCGAGTATAAATATGAGTTAATGCGCTTTGAAACTTCATAACATCTTCAAGGCTCGCCGGAGATAGTTCAGTTCATAAGTCTAATTTCAAAACCGTGATTTATTAAAAAAAATAAAATGAGTAAAAGGACGCGAGAATTTGAGTGTAATAAGGATCCAGATATGTTCTGTTTCATGTGTGGCCAATATACTATCATAAGGCGACGACGAGTGTTCTCAGATCATATCAAAACTTTATACTCCAAGTATTTTGGAATTGAGCCTAAAAATGCTGAAAAACCATGGACACCGAACACTTTGTGTACATCGTGTCGAGTAGAATTGATTCAGTGGGAATCAGGACAACAAACAAAATTTGATACACCAATGATATGGAGAGAACCTACTTGCCATTCAATAGAGTGTTATATTTGTCAAACAAAAGTACTTGGCGTTGGAAGATCAAGAGGAGTAACCTATGCTAGCGTACCTACAGTGA